AAATTACGTTTATGACGAAGAACGAAATTACGTTTAGACTACTTGACGATAGAGACGAGGAAAGTAGTGATGAAGATAGAATGAAGTAAGAGGTGTAAAAAGGCGAAAAATCGGGGTAATAGATAGTGAATGTAAAAGGGACAGTGTTTCTGCAGAAGAGACAAAAAATTCGGAATGGATAACATGCACAGAATCCGAAGAAATACCTCAAAGAGTACGGTTTGTTGTTGTCCCAAAGAGTCGCAGGGCCGCAAGTATCTTCATAAAAGAACCATTAGATGTCTGTGAAATCATTTATGTTAGCTTTTGGAAATTCGCCATATATGCGGAAAATCCTCTCGAGTTGCTGGTTTGCCCTTGCGAAAAAGGCCTCGAGTGCAAAAGGTTAATGGTTTCTCCAAGCAGTGCCTAAATTAAGTTTAAAGGCAGACGCGTCATTGTGACATCTCTTCGCAACGATGTGGCCTTCAATCTCGCTGTCGACAATTTCATTCACTCAGAATGAAAATCTTGTCAAGGAAAACTGAAATAATAACGCGATTAAAAAAAAAAAAAAAAGCCTCAACTGAGAAAGAGGACATAACCTTCTCCAGATGGTGCTATCGTTAGGTCATGGCATGTGTTTGACTTCTCCTTAACGGGGGCCAAAAGGCGTGGTAGGTACAAAAGTACCATTTTCCGAAACTGGTCAGCGAATCTACGAACAATAAAAATTGTCTTCTTTCAAGTTATTTTATAAATCCAAGAAAATCTGCTGTAGGATTTGTTCCTTTTCTCCTTAAAAATAACTGTGTTTCGTGAATTTCAACATCTGCTGTGGAGGAAAAGGATTTCAAAACAAACAGGAGATTTTTTTAATTCGTAAAATATAGCTGTACGAAAGAAAGATAATTGGTTCCTGAAATTCAATAGCTTGATCTATAACTCCCCTAACAACTGTAAAATATAAATCAGATTTGATAGCAAAATAGCTCTCAACCTTTTTTCCCCTTTAACAATTGTAAATAATTTATTTCCTCTTTTTTCCAACGTATTCTAGAATAAGTCTTCCTGCATACAATGATATCTTGTGAATGGCGTAATTTTGCCGTTTCCCCATAAACAATTGCCTCAGTAAGTAAGTATTTAAATTTATTGACGTACAGGTACAGTTTACAGATGTACTTTCCATTTTATAAGGTCGTGTTGCAAGAAAATTATAACTGTGTGCTTGTAAAGAATCATAAACTTCTCTTGATGTAGTAGTTAAAAACACTGCGTTGCAAAATATACCTTTTAATGCCAGCTGAAAAACCCGAAGATGCCGCGGTCGATAAAATTACAAGTTATTTACGTTTTCTTTAAGCTTGAAAATTCTTACTTCTAACTGATAAATGAATGTTAATCATAATAATGGTTTGCAGGTTGACTTCATTATTTTGCAAAGAATTACTGTGCAGAGTGATTATAATTTTTCGATACCAGGAAACAAGAAATCTGCAATGCCTTCACCATGCTTCGAACTCTGGATCTTCCAAAAACGAATCGAGCGTGCATCGAGTTATATTACGAAGAAATGCGAAACGGCGAGAGAAAATACCTTATACCTGTTATAATGAAGTTATGTAGTAAAAATAGTGCGCAGTGCATCGGACAGTGAGGGCAAGTCTAATGCATTCATTCAGCAACATTACCTATCCTTTTTTCTGCTCAATTTATAAAACACATTAATATATATATATATATATGTATATTTTATTTTGGATAAGAGAAGGAAGAAGATCGTCTAGCAATGATGAAAGAGGTGTATGGGTACAACGACGAGATAATAATCATGGGTATTATAATTCCTAAGTTCATTAAAAGCTTTGAGAATTTATTGTTTTTCACTATCGCAAATCGAAGAAAAACATTGAAGAAGTTTGCACTTAGAGTCAGGTTCTAACTCTTAAAACTTTCTTAACATCTCGGATTCTTCCTGTTTTCTTCCGCTTCTTGGCGGAACACGCGGCCACTAAATGATAGCAATCTTCTCTATTCTGCTTTGGAAGCTTTACTTTCCATGTTTTCAAGCATTAGAGAATAACTGATAGACGAACCCCACAGTTTCTATACAAGGGACAACACTGAATATGAATAATCCCGATAAAGTTGGCCATAAATGCTTCTTCCTTCTTGGTGCGTGGACAAAAATTGTTTTTTTCCCAGTACGGAAAATCTTTCTTCGGTTACAGTTATGGTTATGAATACTTTTTCTCTTAAAGTGGTTTCATAACGACTAGATGCTATTCTTATTGTGCGCTAAATGACATTATTATTTCAATATAAAAAAAATGGGCATAAACGGCCTTCCCCCCTCCCCCTATGTCTTCAATTGTTAAGTTATTTATTTGCAATTATTCTTATTATGATTATGTTGTACGTTGTGTATTATTGAGAAAATTTTAAGGGGGTCGATACAAGAAAAGGGTTGGGAATCCCTGATTTAGCATGTGCGTCAAGCGCAATATGGAATCATTTTACGCAAGGTTCAGTGCAATAATATTAGAACTTGGTAGTTATAGTTAGGCAATAATATTAGAATTTGGTAACGACCAAAAACGTTATGCAGAAAAGGCTGTATCGCCTAAGAAAATTTCACTAAGCCAGCATACAGAATTTAATATTTATTAATTCCCAAAATATAAGCCATATTTCTGTCATATCTGATAAAATTGCGTTTAATTAATCTAAGAGGGAAATATATATATTTCGACAAAAATATGCCCATTTTAATAAGACCGTCAAGCTTGATTTTTGAATGCTAATTATCTATTAGTTATCTTACTTAATTTTACATGGTTATAGATTGCTCGGAGTATGCTTAGTATGTTTATATATTTGAGTATACTTAATATTTTCTAATTTTTCGTTATTTATTTTATTTTTGATGCTTCAAACATCAGGAATAAAAACACTACTTGTCTGCAATATGCGTGCTTCATGAAATTTCCTCAAATATATTCTGAAAATCTTCTAATAAAAGAGTAATCGGTGGTGAGTATATTTTTGCTGTTTATAAGAATTTTCTCCAAAAAAGTTGAAGTGGGAATTAAGTTGTCGCTTTCATTGTGAAATGAATTTCAGAATGAAATTTCGCAATTTGAAATTAATTTCGAATGCTGCTTTCTTTGAATATGTTGTTTATTAGTTGCTTTAGCCCTTACAGACCATATTCAGTCCGGTAAATTAAAGGATCATGTCCCTGTGAAAGTTGTTTAATCAGTTTTCGTTTACAAATACAGTTTTGCGTGCTATCAACTTTTCATCTCCTCTCCTCGCAGTTATGCGATGTGAGCCACATCAGTATGTTCACAAGCGGGGCTATGAGTTAGACATGCCTGGTCTAATATAATAATATAAACGTTTTCCAGTTCAAAGTTTATATTAGAACATTATATTTATTCATTTTTGGGGTACCTTACGATTAGATTTTCTACGATGCGCAACTACTTTAGAAGAAGTCACCAATTCTGGCAACTATGCACATAACAATTCCTTCAGTCCAAGAAAAAGCGCTCTTTTCGTTTACGTTCTTTTTGTTGTATTCCAAATTCAACGGTTTTCATAGACAAATCGTGATATTTTTTGCTTTAATCTTAATATTAAAACATATGCTTGAGGGATTTGTGAGCAATGGAAGGAAGTGAGGTAAAATTTCTACAGGAATCTAACATTTTGCCGCAAAATCGCTAAAGGAAACAGTTGTTAGGAATTTGTTGGTAAAGCACTCGTCAGTACATTTCCATTGGAATGAAAAAAAAGAAATAAAAACCGGCTACTAAGTAGTTTTATTTATTGATTTTCAGGATAAATATCTAATTAGAATGTAAAACATTTATGTAATTTGCGTATATTTGTAAAATATATATGCATATTTTTGTATAATGAGTAAATCTTTGCGATGGAATTGAGTGATGGCTTAATGGGATCATTCTTTTTCATCTGTAAAAAGTCTCCGAGTTTCGTCAAGGTGGTTGAGTTAATACGTAAGTACCATTTTTGATAATCTATAATGCTTAAATTTCATATGGCACAAAGTTGCGTGTACTCGACTGTGATGTGATGATCTTTTTAATTCATTCTCATATCTCTTTATTGAATTCAGTAGAACTTTGAATCACACATTCAATCAGGTATTTATAAATTCCTCATTTGTCTATCATTTCATGACCTAAGGCTTTTCTTTAAAACGAACCGCTGTCACTGAATAAAATACTGATACTGAAATTAACCTCAATTCAAAGACTGTTTTACCTCAAGAAGGCATCAAAATAGAATTATTAGAATGTACGTTTTCGAACTATGTATTGTGCTATGGGAAAGATGCGTTTCAGAAAGCTTTCTTTCGTTGATCATTCTATTAATTAATAATATTGGAAGGAACAAGATACATTAGCTGTAGAGAACTTAAACTATAATATTTGTTTTCTTCCTTGTAAAACATGATAATGCCACAGTATGATAATAATGTCTTATTTTAATTTATCTACATTTTATTTTATGCAACTCAATCCCAATTTTATGCAATTCAATCCCAAGTGACAGCATATATGATAGATTTCGAGTCCTGTGACTACACCTGTTGAATATTAAACCCCTTATTTAATGATGTGAATAAATATCTTTAATAAACTTAAGAGTAATAAAATTTGCTTTTGAATTCAGTTTTTTTAAAGTGCTATTTTTTGTATTTTCAGCCTTCAATGCAGCCTCATGTAGTTAGTCTTTCTTACTTCTACTCTTTTGAAGCCGAGCGAGGCGATTCCATTTTTAGAAGCTTTGATAATCTCACTCTTTTATCAGTCTGATAGTGTTTATCCTCAGGTAGAAATCCGGCGGAGAACGGGAGGGAGTTCCCTCTGCAACAAACACGTCATTATTTGAATTGGAGCATCGCTATTATTGGATTTAATATTATATTTTATGCTTTACCAAGCGTGATTTCATTTTAATAAATAATATATATTTTTTAAATTTAGGATGAAGTTCTGGCACTTTTGAAAGAAGCCATTCAAAAGCATCTTCCGAAATCAAATGGTTTTCTCGTCGACGGTTATCCCAGAGAAGCGGGGCAAGCTGTCGAATTTGAACAACAGGTTGGTAAGCAATGTTCATTATAGGTGAAATAAAAAAAATATTTTCGTGAACGTTAAAATATTATCAAATGAAAGAAAAACCTCATTATTCTGAAAATGTTGAGTGAATTCTTTGAAATTTGAAAGAACAAGAATGCTAATTTAGAAGTCAAACAACAAAAATCAGCGTTATATTTTCAAATTTTCACAGGACTAGTTTCGATGGTTTACCGAACCATCATCCTCAGCTGCAAAAGCACAAATGAACGAGATAAGATATAGTGATTAGATGAGAAAAGATAAGAAAGAACAGGATTCTTTGTGATTCTAAGATTCTTTGTGTATATACTAGTACAGGCACAGAAACAAAGCTGGAGGAAGGAAACATATATATACACGTGTGCAACATCATTTTTAGGCAACTTCATTTCATAACGCTGCGAAACCGTTTCCTGCATTGCAATTTATAGACATTCAAGCACATTAAACAAATTCTTTTTATGTATTTGATTACAGCGAGTTATATTTTCTGTGGTCATCAGTTCTCCTGAATTCCTCTTAAAAACTTCTGAAAATTCCGGTTTTATCAATTGTGAACTTGTGAACATCTTTTTTCGGCTCAAATCTTACGATATGAAAAGGTCCAGGAATTTAGTGGTGGAGATACTCATAACAATTAGAAAAAAATATTTTTGCTTTATGTTTCAAGTAGATTCCCCAAGTTATTTATCTAAGTAACATCTGATAATTATATCTTTGCTAACAGTGTCTGTTTTCTAATCAAGTTAGAAAACAAAAACATTAGGAATTTTAATGGTAGCTAAAAGGATGTCCCAAGAAAAGTGCCATATTTAGTATGCCCGTTAGAATACTTTACTTTTAGGAAATAGAATGTATTTTTACATATTTACAAGAGGTAAATGTTTCGATTTAAGAATGAAAAGTAGCGTCTTAACATATGTCCTCCATGATTTGCTCTCTGGCATCACGTTCTTTTGATGAAATTCATAATTACTTTCTTGCGTATCTTCCTACTGGGGGTGGCTAATGACACAAGTCCTCTTTAAGCTTTTTTGTTGTTAGCCTTTCCACGATTCTAAGTTCGAATTTTCCATTATTTGCAATAAAGTTGTATTCTCAATAGCGACGTTTTCAGCAGACCGGCTGGATCGACAGCGTGGTGATTTAATGTCTGCTGTCGAACTTATGTTCTCAGATTTTTTTATCAATCTGCAAACTATTGTTTCATTAGATGCAATTTCACGTCAAAAGACTGCATGTAGCTTCCTAATAGTCTGTGCATAACACTTTCCATTTTTGTAATGAGTTTTAAAAATCAAAATTTGCTGTTCCTTTATATAGCGCTCCATGTCTACCAAACTGCAGCAAAGCTGAGAATTAAACTGACAGTAAATGACTTAATGAAGTTGCTTAATTTGCTTAAAGAGAAATGGCTTAAAAGTGATAAAATACTGTTGTTGCCAGGTCAAATCAAACTCTATGCTCTTAAAGAGAAACATTTGCCTATTTTAAATTTGTAAAAATATTTTCCATTTTCTAAAAATAAATTATATTTGGGGCATATTAAATCCGGCAGTTTTGTTGGGACATCCTATACCAGTTGTGGCGAACATTTTTGGGGCCCCGTGTCCAAAATGGAATGGTCGCGTGCCATTCCGTTTAAGGTATTAAATTATAATTATTCATAAGGTATATCAAAATGCTTTGATCTGAAAACTGGAATCTATTTAACATTGAAAGTATTAAAACTCACCGTCAATCTGCAATAAATTTGAATTCGTTTAGCAAACATTAGCTGCTTTGGCGTATTCTTTACCATGTAATACCATTGGTCTTTACCATCTAATACGTTCAAGAACAGACTAAAACACTTATTAAAATTATATTATATCATTTTTATTGTGATTATTGATTAAGAATGTAATATTTTAGTCGCGTGCCGGCTGATCATGCTCTGCGTGCCGACTGCGGAACGCGTGCCATAGGTTCGCCATCACTGTCCTCCCTATAGATCTTACGCGTAATCGTAACAGTTGGAGAGGGAACAAATTTTTTGCTCTATACATTATCTTTCGTTTGGATTTATCGAGTTATTTTTCGCAGTACAGTAGCAGTTATTTGTTGTGCCTTTTGAAATAAAACCACCAAACAATGTATTTCAGCAAAGGGGATGTTATTTGTCATTTTGTCGAATAGTCGCTTAGAATAGTTGCAGTAATATTTACTGTTCTCACTGCAGAGGCCTTAAATGAAAATTAATATAGTGGTATTTTTTGACAATATTATGTCACTGAATCCATTGTTCTTTAATCCAAGTTTTATGTTTTTCTGAATTTCCAGTCTGTGTCAATTTGTGAGACTAAGTATTTAAAATACTTTATCCAGTTGCTGTTAAAAGACGCAGTAAATCTCTCAATCTGGCTAATATTTATGAATTTTATAAAATTATATTTTGAAACTAGCTAAAAATAATTACATAATGCTACTGAAAATTACCCATAATCTTATTCTGTGAGGTTTCAGAGAAAACTAAAATCGGTTAGAAGAGTAAATGGCCGTTTCAAGGAGATTTCAGTCTGCATGTAGATGCTTTCAACAGAAAATGTTCGTTTTCATGCACAACCATACCAAACATATTATGGAAAGGGATACTCTTGATACGAATCCTGTGATCTCGATTCTTCAGAACATGCTACTGTCGCAAAATACAGATTTCGTTAGTAGCTATGTTTGGAATTGTTTACTGGCTTAATAATATTGGTCGACTTTCTTGCTTGCTTTGTTTATTATTATGCATAAAGATAGTTGTATCTCAGCATCAGTATTATTTATTTATATAAAGTTTCAATTACAATTTCAGAAAAAAAAAAAATCTGAATGCCTTCAGATTTTACTTTACGCCCAAGGGGGCGTTTTTTTAACGTTTTGCGGGTTACCTTTATTTATTAAATATCATGCTCTTTGCACTTAAACATAAAATTTAGTTCAACAGCAATATTGCAAAATAATTTTAAAATGAGCATATCTTAAGAATTTCCGATATACAGTTTTGCGCGCTGGAGATAAAAAAATATTTTTTTGCAAGCCATTGCTTGCTTTGAAATCATTGGTTTTGTTAATAAAAAATTCTTTAAAGTTTTACGAAATATGAAATAGATAATAAAACAAATTCTAAATTTGGGCTTTCAGATGTCCATATTCCGGTGAAAACGTACGTTATTCAAAATTTGATGGCTCTAGGTACCGTCGTTTTATCACAGTGCGAGAAACATACGTAGATTTATGCAGCTTCTTCATTATTATTTTCTTTAAATATAATACAGAACTGTAATATTTGGTGGCAACAGTCTGAAAAGTGAACCGACATTTAAAGTTTTCAACGCAAAATGCCAAAACGAAATTTATAAACGCCCTTTGTCCTAATAAGTATTATTTATTTATAAAATGTTTCTAAAAATTTAATATGGTTTTGGCAACGAACAAAGATTAATAATCGCATCTCGAGCTATGTTCGCAGGACTAAATATCGTTTGGGAAAAGGAAATTTTATCGAGAAAAAATTTAGATGAGTTCCATTCCATTGTAAAAAGTGATTTTTGATTTTCTAAGGAGATATTTATTGCATTTTGGAGGCCTCTGTTGAAAATTTGATTTAAAAAAAAAACTAAAAAAAAACTGTGATATCATTATATTATAGATCAGCCTGTTCTGCCAAGGAACCTGGAATGAATAGCTGTAAAACTAAAATAGAAAAAAAAATTAGAGTGGCCTATTTATGCTTTTGGACGCTTGTGTTCCACAATTTTATTTGCAAATGTCAGTTACTAAATATTAGCAAAATCATATTTTCTTTCATGTATATTATCGATCACCTTTTTTTAAAACCTGCTTGCTTTAAAAAAAGTTATTCGAAATGTTTTTGATTGAAAAAAAATATTTTAGAAGGTAATTCTCCCGCCTTCTTAGCATGCCTTCGTGCTGTAGTTGTCAGCACGCTTGGCGCGTATTCGAGAGGTCCACAGTTCGACTTCCCGCGAGGGCATTGCTCATTTTTCATCTCTTCTGCTTTGAAATAACCTAATATCTGTACGGCTTATTATAAATATTCGGAAAATTAACTCACATGTAAGTATTCGGACACATTGAAGAAACAGTTTATATTTAATAAAAATATGAATATTACGCGACATCCAATACTTCATTAGATATCCTTTCGCTAAATTTACACTTTTCATGCGTTTTGTCATAGAAATAACTAATTTCATCAAGTAAGATTATTCTACTTTGTTCATTTCTTCGTAAGAAATGCTTTTAACAGAGCTATCGAAAAAATGTCATTTTTTCTGAGTCTTTTCCAACTTACTCTACACATCATCGATAGGATTTAAGTCTGAAGAACATGGAGAAGTTTCAATAACTTCAAGATAGTCGTATAATAACCATAAACAAACACTTACAGACATTTTTAGGATCTTTATCCTGATAGAATTTAAATGCATTTTGCATTCCAAGTTTTCTTGCAGATGTTTTCAGGTTTCCCTTAAGCGATCCATATTATTTTTTATCAAATGTAAATTTCCCATCTGAGAGGCAGCGAAACATGCCCAAACTACACTCATGTGCATAAATTAAGGATTAATTCAGAGTCACGCGGAAATCGAACTCTAAAATAAATATATCACCTGTAAAATCACTACACACATCTTCAAGAATCATATGAAAATTTGAAAATTTCAGGAAGTAACCAGATGACACCGATGGTACGTCACAATGACGAGAGTGTAAGAGAGTGATATATAAGGAATACAGACAAAGATGTAAAATTGTTCGCAGGCGCTTTATAAGCATTTCAGTGCAATAACCGAATAGTTATGACACAAAGGACGCATTTGGATGATTTTTTACGTGGCCGTCTGGAATGAGGCCGTCTGGAATGTGGGCGTACCCAACTGGAAGTATCAGACGAACATGGAATTGCCCAGGGTGTCATCTCCAGGCTTTGGTAACGCCCCAGAGTTACAACGCCGAATGAGGACCGGTATTTGGCAGTTACTGCCAAAAGAAACAGGCGGAGCACAGCCTGAGACCTGTCTCGTCAGCTCTCTTCAGCCATTTGTACGACAATTTCAAGGTAGACCGTGTACAGACGCTTAGGGCAGATTGGTCTATATGCTCGTAGACCTGTCAGATGCGTTCCACTTACTGCAACTCACTGTCGCCTGGAGTAGAGAGCATGCATTGTGGACACCGCAACAGTGGGCTTGTGTGATGTTTTCCGACGAGTCCAGGTTTAGATTGCAGTCTGATTCTCGTCGGACTTTCATATGGAGAGCTCCAGGTACCCGTTCCCACCAAGAAAACATCATTGAACGACACCGTTACGGTAGTGCAGGAGTGCTCGTTTGGGGGTGGAATTATCCTGGGTTCCAGAACTGACCTGCAGGTTCATATTGGAACCATGACAAGCCAAATCTACCGGGACGTCATTCTGGAACAATATGTACGTTTGTTTCGGGGTGCCATGGGCGCGGAATTTGTGTTTATGGATGACAACGCCCGTCCTCACCGTGCAAACATCGTAAGCGAATGCCTTCAATCGGAGGATATCACCCTGTATGGACTGGCCAGCATTCTCACCGGCCTTGAATCCAGTAGAGCACGTGTGGGACATGCTTGGCCAACGAGTTGCAGCCCGTCAACCTCCTCCTACATGTCTACCGGAACTTCGGAGAGCATTGCTTTTTGAGTGGTGTAATATCTCTCAAGATCAGATCGATAATTTGATACTCAGCATGCCTAGGCATTGTACGGACTGTATTGTATCGTCTGGGAGACATACAATGTATTAAGAATCATACCAACCATATAATATTGGTTTTTTGTAAATAGGTTTTTTTTGTAATTTGCTCCGGGAAGAAAAGATCGCTAATTTTTTTAATAATATCAAACATATCGCATCTTTTTTTGCTCTTTACCTTTTGTTTAATAAATAAGCTTTACAAATAAGTCAAATTTGTTTTGCTTCTAACTCTTCCTTTGCCTGATTTGCATTATCCTTAATTTATGGACATGAGTGTATTATGCTTCCCCATTCATGTTGAAGGATAGGATTTTCATATTCAATTCTTCATTTGGCTTTCATCTCGAAGCAATTCGTCTATCGTATGGAAATATATTAAATTTTGTATCGTCTGCAGCTATAACATTATTTCAATATGATAAAAACCTTGCTTATTGTAGGTTTTGCGAATACCACGGATATTTTTCATATGGACTGTTATTATATTTTGCTAAATAAGCAATGATTTCCAAATGCAGACGATAGTTCTTGTGATGTGTTTTTTATTAAAAAAAAAGGCAAGAAACATCGTCTTTGAAAGCATTTAACAAAGCTTACTAGCGTCCGAATTTATTATGTGAGTTACTGGGCAAGACTTAAAAATCGGGAAAACATAATATATTAGAAACGTGTCGAGTCTGTGTTTCAATATATAGTACAAGATCTGTGCAAATAAATTTCAAATATATATGTGTCCAAAAGTATATGCAAGCCACTGTATGCAGTTTATGATTGATTCTTATGTGGTACACATAATCTTTCATTATTATCTAAATTAGCGACATTCTAGACAACAAAAGATGGCTTAAAACTTGGGCATGTTCATTTTAATTGAATTATTAAAAAGTATTCGAGAACAAAATCTCTAATTACCTAGGGCTCAACTGGCCGGCATTTGTAAATAAAAATAATGAATGTATGCATTTAAGCATTTTTTTTTTTTCTTCAAAGTTCGCATTTATCTTAAAAATAGCGTTTCTCTCATTGGATATGCTTTTATGTTATTTCTTAAACTAGCTGTTCCAGAGCTTGCAACGAAGGTAATGAATTACAACTGAAATTTTATTGCAGGTATGTAAGTGCTCTTTCTTACTGTTCTTCGATGTGCCAGATGACATCATGAAGGCTCGTCTACTAGAAAGGGGAAAGACGAGTGGTCGAGCAGATGATAATGAGGAGACAATCGCTAAAAGGCTCGACACTTTTCACAAACACACACAACCTATTCTAGACCATTATGGAGACAAAGTTAAAAAAGTAAGAATTTTTTCTTGTGACGTTTTAGATTCAAACTGTATTCGAGAATGGTTCAGTTTTTGACACAGTGCCAATCATTTGTGAGTTTTGGTTTTTGTCACACTGGTCTTGCCACACGCACGTGAAGAAGGGAACTTCTCGCCATTCAGTAATTTAGAAAGAGAGATAAATAGAAATGGTGGGGTATAATTGAATTTTTTTTTTTCTCTCTTGTGAATTTACCAATACACATATTGCTGCGATTGACTGTATGGAGCTTGTTTAGGATTTATATTTAATATTAAACCGGTAAATGAAATTTGAGTTTTGCTGTTAAAGTTGCAATTTGAGATGCAACAGATGCACTGTTTAAAAAGAGCTGCAGGACCGAATTTTTTATCCCCCCTTCAGTAATTTTTCCCCTGAAACAAATGGTTAAGCTAAATATTTATCACAACGTACGTAAACAGTAGTAATATCGGCATACATAAATAGCAATAATAAGGAAAAAATTCCAATTTCTATTTATTTTCTATTTGAAAGTTAAAAATTGGTATCTGCAAGAAATTTCTGTTTATTAGACTTTGTAACTGAAATGGAGTACAGAAAAAATTCATATATTTCTATATTAATTGCAAACTTCTTCATTTCTTACTTCAATTTTTAGAAATAACACCTCATGGCATTTTGATTTTGATAAAGTTTGTAACTTTGCAGAAAAATTATCTTTATCATAAACAGTAAATGTTCATCGGTCATTCTGGTTCTATTTTTAGACTCTTAATTTTTAACTGCGGTTAAAAAAATCACATATAAAAGTATTCACAAACAAAGCGATTATTCTTGTTGCAAAAATTCATAACTAAGGATGTTTATCATTTGTTGCTGTTGTTGTCATGTCCATATTACATGGAAGAATTGTTGCCAGAGCCTGCTCCATAGAGAGGATGTTTATCATTTGACAAGTATAATAAAAGTTAATTAAATCTGTAACTTCAAATCCTTAAATAAGATTTATGTCACAGCGTAAATTAATTAGCTCCATTTGTAGATTTCCCAGGGCATTACTCATGTTTGCTTTTAATGGTATTGAAAATAATGTGAAATTAAACTCAAAACTATCAAAGTTTTCTAATTCTTGCCATAATAATTTGCATAATCATGCTAATTAACTTATAGGAAAGGAATTTTCGTGGCGCATAAAATTACTTTGGGGGCCGCCAGTTTAACACCATTGATTTAGTAATCAGTGTTTCTTTTCTTTATTTGGAATCTATTTTACTAGAATTATGTTAACTTTCTGTTTTTTTTTGGGGGGGGTAAGCAAATTTTGTATACTTTCAGTGCACCGCGTAAGTGAGATTATTTGCATTTATCTATGGTATTTAATACATTTGTGTACATGTTATGTGCAAATTGTACGTCTTCTATACTGAATAGATATCTCTCAAAAATTTCTGAACTGGAAATTTGTACCTATCTAGTTTCGTTTACCAAATAGAATTTAACTTCTTTAATTTCATTCCTGAGGTTATTTTGATATGTCAAAGCACATAAGAGCTATCTGCTTAACTGAAGGAATGTCTTCGTGGAGGAGTTTTCAAAGAAAAACTAACTCATACTCAGAGTAATTTTCAAAGAAAAACTAGCTCATACTCACGTTACACTTGGAAAAACGGGGATCGAATCCAGTTTTAACTCTCCTAGTATTCAGCGGTATTAACCCCTCGGCCACTGGTTGAATTCGTTCTTGAAAAGGATCTGCAAATCTCCCGAAGAGATAGCCCATAATCGTTTTCTTTTTTATAAGCACTGCTAATGTAATTTAAAAAAACACTTCAATTCAGTATTGAAGGAAGAAGCAAGGAGTAGAGGAAGAGTGCTATTAGCTTTGTGTTTAGACTTTCGTTACATACGTATTACAAATTTTAATCAGAATGGGTATCATATTCAGAAATTAAAAAAATATATATTCAGAAGTTAAAAAAAAAATGGTGCTCATCTGGAAAAATCTCAATTTTTATCTGAATGCAGAATTATTATCAATGGAATTATACTCCGGAATATGTTGATATATTTTCAAGTATAGTTGTATTCAGTGCAATTTGAAATGTGATATATCGGTACAAAGAAAGGGGCACTTCTTTATGTTCTGTTCTTGAATGTAAATTGCCGTCCAAATGTATTCTTAATAGTTGTTGCTGTTAAGGTAAGCTAAACTTTAGGCAAAATATCTTGGAACAGTCTACAGCTGAATACGAACGAAGTAACGGGATTTGTTCGAAATTTTATTTTAACTGAACACTCTCGTCAACTGCAACTGAACATGTTGCTGACAAAGCCGATAGTATTCAGTCGCTGAAAGGTCGTCTGCTAAAATGAAATTGATGCTAAATTACGTTGTTTTATTCGTACTCAGTTTTATTTGGTATGTATTCTTTCCCATAATGTTTCACAAATTTTAAATTTACTATTGCAGTCATATGACGGAATTGTGTGTCGATTTTTACATTCTGTTAAGAAATACAGTGGGCGCTATTTAATATGATCACGCTTGTCCACATCTATTTTGATGACATTAAACGATGAGAAAAAAATATCCTTTAAAAACAATGGAATTTAACACATTTAATATAAATATGTACTTTCGTAGCATTTTAATTAGGAAAATGAGAAAGTTTGTTTATGAAATATCATAATGTCTTTAAAGCAACAGTTCTTCATTTACAAACTTTTCATAACATTTCTGGGAATTAATTGACCGATGGTATGTATCCTTAACCACAATATTCGGAGAGCAGCCCTCATTCACTGAAAAAGAGCATGCAAATGTAAAATTTAAAATTAGGAAAAAAAAAAAAGAAAAAGAAACCTTATTTCGCATAAATGCTTTCAGGATAATTTTGCCCCTTTCTTTTCTTTTCATTTTTTTTCCCTCTAAGGAAGAGTAACCTGGTGACTTGTGTCCGACTTCCTCAAAATCGATAAGCTGCTTGTGTGTGTGTGTTTTTTTCCTAATTTTAAATGATTCACTAAAATCAAAAACAAGCTGTTTGGTGATACAGGGTGATCAGCGAATAAGCCCTGATTTCAAAATTAAATATCTCTACAACAAAGATCGACAGAATTATGCGGTAAACTGCAGGTTTATTAGCAAAACTGTAAAAATGGTGTACAAAAGTTTAGAAAATTTAGTTAAAATCATCAACAGAGGGCGCCGTAATCGCAATGACCTATCAATAGCCTTTAACCTTTTCCCGTGGGCTACAGGGGGCAATTTCGAACGTATTATGGCCATTTAGTCACTTATTTTAAATGAAAGGAACAGAAAAACAATCGACAGGGTCTTGCATTTCCTAATTCATTTTAAGGAGTAAATTTTAAATCTCCATAGTTTACTGAAATTTCTTGAGAAACGTTGAAAGTGATCAGTACGACTGTTGGCTAGTGAAAAGAGGCTAGCGTAGAAAGTGAAATAATGTATTCCATTAAACAACTTTTTTTTTTTTTTTTTTTTTTTTTTTTTGTTGTTGATGTTCTGGAATTTCACCGATTAGAACACAGTCCTACGGCAACACGTCGCAGTTTTCAAAACCGATTCAGTGTTCCAGTTGGACCGGATGCGAAAACCATTCGCATGCTCTTCGCGAAATTCGAACGGACTGGCAGCGTGGCTACTGATCGAAAGGGAAATGTTGGGCCTAGGCAAACTGTAGTCACTCCTGAAAATGCAGCCAAAGTTTCTGGAATTGTTCAGCAAACTCCTAGGAAAAGCATCCAACGGATTACATCAGAGACAGGTTTAAAGTACACGAGAACGAGGAGAAAAAAATTAAAAAATAGCCTACGGATGTTTCCATACAAAATCCAAAGTCATCATGAAAGGTGTGCAACAAAGGGTTGACTTTGCGAATCAGGTTCTAACAATGATCGACAACGACAGATTTAATGTGAGCTGCATCTGGTTCACAGATGAGACACATTTTCATTTGAATGAAATTGTTAATAAACAAATCTGGAGATTTTGGTGTTCCGAAAATCCTCATTTGTGTGAAGAGAAAGCACTGCATTCGCCTAAAGTTACTGCATGGGCTTTGGTACGCGCCAGAGGCATTATCGAACCCTTTTTCGTACGAGAAACGATAACTACTGAACGTTACGTTACGATTTTGGAACAGTTTGTCAGCACTCAACTAGCGTTGGAGGATCGACCAGGTGTAGATTAGTTTATGCAAGATGAGGCTCGACCACATCGGACAGATAAAGTTTTTCGCTTCTTCATGAATACTTTGGGAATAGAGTAATTGCGTTAGATTATCCGCAATTTACTGACACAGGAATTGCTTGGCCTCCATATTCTCCCGATCTGAGTCCTTGTGACTTCTTTCTGTGGGACGCATTGAAAGACACTGCCTATCGAAACAATCCCGCTCCCGCCGCTTGTTCTTTTAGACTCCTTTCAGAGAAAGAGTTTTAAGCGCAGAGCGCCATCTGTTAATGATTTACTTAACTAAATTTTCTAAACTTTTGTACACCATTTTTACAGTTTTGCTAATAAACGTACAGTTTACCGCATAATTCTATCGATCTTTGTTGCAGAGATATTTAATTTTGAAATCAGGGCTTATTCGCTGATCACCCTGTATAATCCTTTACTTGTTAAACTTTTTTTCTAACACTTAGCAATTTTTATAATCTATTTTGACCTTTTCTGGCGACTTTACTTCAGATAAAAAAATTATTCGTTAATACTTTGATAGTATTAACCGAATTGTTGATCACAATGAGCGATGCATTTTCTATGTTTTGGTATACGAATGAGCGGGACTCGAAACAATATCCGAATGATAACATTAATCGAGATCACATTTAGCTGCTACAATTAACAAAACATTCTAACTAAATTTCAGTGAATTCAAAAGTGTTGTTACTCACCACCTCAAAAAATAAATCGCTTGCTCTACAGGAATTTTAGGTTTATCTTATTCTTTGGAGGTTTGCATTTGAGAATATCCGTGAAA